AGAAACGATGTACAAATGCACTTTACACAATTGATGTGTGTATGGATTGGGATAACAGTTGTATGAGCCCCTAATAAAATGTTAAAAAAAAAAGATAAAGCCAGAGAGGAATGGGGGGTGGGGGGTGGCGGGTGGTTGGCAATGCGGGCATGACTTCGACTCAATAAAAACCACAATCTCATGTTGCAATCGTGAAGGCATTCACACTTTTTATGTGAGATCACCTCCATTTTTGGCTGTCACTGTCTCTGACCACTCAGAGACCCTCTGGTCCCTAGTGGAACTAGGAATGCTAAGGTCCCAAGGAGGGAGGTGGGGAAGGCAGAAGGTTCTTAAGCCCGCCGTGGATTGATCAATAGGAGCCGTCAGCCCCTCGCAAGCTGCAGGGGATGCTGGGGGCAAGAAAGGAAGTGGCTCTCTGGAGAACCTCTAGCTAGCTCTGTGCTCACTTCCTCCTCATGGCCTCTGGCCCTTCCTCCTGTAAAATTCTGACCTTTCTTTCTTTTTTAATCAATTTATTGAGGGGCTCTTACAAATCTTATAACATTCCATCAATCAATAGGATTAAGCACACTTAGACATATGTTTTCATCAACATTTCCAAAACAATTTCTTTCTACTTGAGCCCTTGGTATCAGCTCTTTTTTTTCCCCCTCCCACCCTCGTGAACCCTTGATCAATTATATATTATTGTTGCTATTTTGTGTCGTACAGTGTCTGTTGTCTCCCTTCACCCACATTCTGACGTTTCTAAGTTTAGTCCGTCCCCCAGTCAACGTAGGCCTCTTCCACTGCCCTCGTCTTCCGGTGATTCTGACCCAGAGGGGCCCCATGGGTGTCAGGGTGGAACTGGCTCCATGGGGTTTTCAGTGGCTGGCTTCTCCTAATGAGATCACCATGCCTTTCTCCTGAGGGGCCTCTGAATGGGCGGGCTCAACCCCCCACCTTTCAGTTAACCAAGCAAGTAACGACCTAACCACCCAGGCCCGCCCTCCTCCCTCTACAAGGTTGGAAAGGTAGTGGAATGGGAGTCTCAAGTGTTGCCAAGAAGGGAACTGAGGTTAATCTGATTGGGAGAGCCTTCCAGGGAGGAGAAGTCTGTTGACAGGCAGATCTCTTGGGGCTTCTTGGCAGCTGAGCTCTAGCCTTCTCTAGGACCTGTTGGGGATGCAGTTCGATCTGCCTGGTGCTCCCCAGGAAAGTTGATGGCCCTGCCCTGTGGCTAGCCTGTCGGACGAGCACTCACAGCACTTCTGAGCACCACCGCTCATTTGGTTTGCGGAACCTGCAGGAACTCCCTGGATGGCTTCCTGGATTGCTTGCTGGTCTTTTCGAAGAGGTTCTGTATTAATCATGGGTGTCCTCTTTCTGGGGTGGCTGGGTGCTTGGGGGACTGGAATGAGCGCCCCACGGAAGGCGAGAGCTCGCGGAGGCAGAGCAGCAGGGCCAGGGCAGAGCAGCCAAGATTGAGCCAAGCTACTAGCCAGGTTGGGGACCAAGAGAAGGTGTGCACATGTGTCATCAGGGCATGACCCTGGGCCCTGGGCCTATGCCGAGAACCCGTCTGCTCTCCTCCCACCCCCTCTTCTCCCAGGAATGCAGGGCTTCGGGGTGCCTCCCATCTCTGCTGTTTTCGTTCCTTCCTCAGAAGGTCTTCCACGATCATGACCCCTCTTCAGAAATTCCCCAAACACCTGGCCAGGTGGGACAAGGCCTTTGACGTCAGTGGAGGCATTTGTCTACTCAGGTAGAGCTAATTTCCTCAGGGTGAGGTTTTCTTTCAGGGGAGGCCTGTTTCAGGGTTGGCCCTGAACACGCAGGCATTGAGTGGGTTTGTGCAGGGGGGGGAAGGGAGGGGTGAGGCATGAAGCATGACCCAGCATACTCACAGAGCCAAACAAAGCATGTTTGGATTAGGCCCCCTCCCCAAACTGTAGTCCATCAGACCCTGTGGCTTCATGGGATGGCTCCCTGCATATATAGTCCTCAGAGTCCCTGCCGAACATAGAAGCTCGGTCATGCCCTCTGAGCTGGCCCCATGGTGAGTCTCCAGATCCCTCAGGACACTGGACATCAGGAGTCAGAAGGAAGGGAGAGCTCAGATTTTCCACCAATTCAGGAAGACAGCATCTAGCCTTGAGCTGTGCAGAAATTTCCATTGAGAGAAGTGGACGGCAATACTATTCCTGGCCTGTACGGGGGGAATTAAGGGAGCTTATTGAGGTTGGAAGGCAAATTGGCCCCCTGAGGAGACAACACTTAGATAATTGCTTTAAAGGCAAATACTGGAGCAAAGAATTCTAATGAAGGAAAGACTAGAGAGGTAATGCCTGAGAGCAGACCGGGAGGCTAGCAGACTACTCCCCAGCTCTGCCCCTTTAAAAAAAATCGGCCCAATCAACCCAGGTAGGGAAACCATGGTAGCGGGAGCCGGTCATCTCCTGGGATTTTAGGAAGCAGTCATTTGGCAGGAAGGCCAGAGAAGAATTGTTTAAGGAGCATAGGAACTCTTCCTCTCCCTCCTCCTCCACGGTCCCATTCCGTCCCGGGCATGCCAGGTGAAGTTACAGGAAACAAGCTACGGGATAGGAAGGAGGGCCCAGGAAGTAAAGAGGTTCGGGTGCAGGGAGAAGTCACAGCGCCTGGAGGTGAGGACCAGAAACACCACCCCAACTGGAAAGAAGCTTCTTCCAGAATCCCGATGGTCTAGATCCCTCCAGCCCGTGCGGGAAGTCCAAGGAGCCCAGGTAAGAGATCCCGGGGGAGAGAAGGGTACCAGTGGCGCAAGACCTGGGAAGTGGGGCCTCGTCTGTACAACCATCTGACTTTCCAGGGGATGAAAAAGGAAGCATTGGTCTTGGTCCTTCCTCCTCGTAAGCTTCCTCCGGGGAAGCCAGTCCTGGGACGGAGAACCTTCTCAAGAACTCCAAAGAAAGCTTAGATCCCGGAAGCTTCCAGCTGGAAGGGTTGTTAAATATTGATGGTTCCAACCCCTTATCTTACAGACGGGAAAACCGCAGCTTCCACAGAGATTTGTCTACCTAGCAATGAAGGATTTCAGGCCACAAGTCCATCCCAGTGTCCCAACATACACCTGGTTAGAACCCAGCCAGAGCCACTGCCATAGAGCCCACTCCAGCTCCTAGCACCCCTTCAGATGGTTTCCAAGGTTGGAAATCTTCCTTGGTGCAGATGAGCTCACCTTTCTCCCTCAGAGTGGATGCTGGGTTTGAACCACCGACCTTGAAGTGAGCAGTAGCAGGTCAACGCTTACCCAGCAATACCCCTCAGCTAATCGATCCACCCTTGAGTCTCTTTTTCGCCCCACCTGGCCACTAGATCAGCCTGTGTATATCTCTGCCATCCTTTCCGTAACTCAGGGGTCCGAACTGGCATCTCTGGAACCTTGTCCCACCTCACTCTTGACTTTGGTGCTATGATGCACATCTCTGACACTGGTATATTTCTCAAGTCGGATCCTACTGAGGTCCGCTGGTGGGATGCCCCCTCACACCTGGCTAATGAGGTAGAGTGGAATACCTTCTACCCCAGAGCACAGACCCGGTTAAGAGCAGTCAGATTGGAGAGCTAGTGTATAGAGAGTGTGAAGGCATGTACCTCTTTGGGTAGCAGTTGATATTCTGTTGCTAGACTGGGTATGTTTCCCCTTTCTGAGAGGTGTTATAGGCAGTTCTGGTTGTCTTTCTCCTCAAATAACGCTTCAAGGAACTTCTAAATTTGATCTGACAGTGGCGTTTCTCTACAAAATCTTTTACACTCCTGATATTTGAATGATTGGCATTTTCAGAGGATTAGAAAGCAGTAGAAGTCTCAGTACTTTGGTATCACCACTCCTCAGGCAGTGGGGGCGGGGGGGCATTTCAGAACAAGTCATTCTGGCTCATAGCCTTTCCTGCTCCGAGTCAGTGGGGGAAGCACAGCTGGCCTTCCGCCTGCTCAAACCCTGATGGTGGCAATCCTCACGGGCACGGACCATGCCCTGCAATGGCCCTGAACCCCCAGCATGAAGCTACATGCATCGGGGCGCTGAATAAGGCTTGTTAGAGGAGGAGAGAGCAGCAAGTTCAACACCAGGCGAGCCTGCCAGGCATTACTCCATTCACAGCTAAGGCTTACCACAGGTGACGCGGCCCCAAGCTTCCCACCCTTGTGCTGAGTGAGCAACCCTTTGGCCCTTCCAGGAGCCAGGGGGCTCTGGACTGCCCAGTCCCTGAGCCACATAACATCACCGGTTTGTTGCAGCATCTCGCAGAGCGAAGTGTCTCCTCCTGCGGTCCACAGGCCACTCTGCCTCAGAATCTGTAGGTGCCAGGACACTAGGGAGAAAAGAGAGGCAAGGATGACCCTCATAGAAGTGAGTGGGTGCTTCGTGTAAATGGCGTGTTCTCTGGAGCGCTCGAGCACCCAGCCCCCACTTGAAGCCGCTTACGACCCAACACAAATCGGATCAAGCAAGACCTTGGTCTTCCCTGATGTGTGTGTCCTCTCCTCTCCTGTTCTGAGGGCTTCTAGCCTCTCGGCAGGGGGTTGCGGTGGGTGGGTCATAGGTGGCCAATCGTTGAGCACCAGCCTGGCTACTCTTCACCCATTCCTGCTGGCCACAGCCATCCCTTACCCCTAGTTTCGTCCTGTGCAACATAGGTTTGCTCCAGACGGGAACAAACCCGACGGCACTTAAATGCGACGAACAACCGCTAGCAAAACACCATTTTCTCTGCAGCAGGAGTCAGGCATGGCAACAAACTCGTGCATTCTGTTTTCCAAGCGTTTTTTGTTTTCTCCTTCTATATTGTCTTAGTCTTTAAGGAAAGGGAGGGAAATGATCGGCCACGAGGGGTGCCTTTGATTGCAAAACGGGTGTGCACTTTAGATCAAAGACACCCTGAATTCCTGAAATGTAAAGCCAACAGACACCCTGGCACAGAAGACAGAAAGTCAATGCAGGTAGGTGGGACATAGCCGAAGTGTGCTGGGGATAAGGAATGAGCCCGTGCGGAGCAGAAGGTTGGGGCTACCAGAGGGAAGTACCCTGCCTGATGGTGCAGCACTTCCAAATTATCTCCCTGCGTATCTTGCAAGCTCCTCGGAGCTCCGCTTCACAAGACTATGGGAGAGAAAGGCCAGGCTTCCAGCTCCAGGAAAGGGTGACCATCTCAGGAACCCGCTAGGCGGTTCTACTCTGCCCCATAAGCTCGCGTGCTATGGGGCAGGATCAACTCGATGGCACAAATCGTTAAGCGCTTGGCTGCCCACCAACATGGTGGCGGTTTGAAGCCAGACAGGGTCACAGACTGGAAAGGGACACCGAGCACAGTCCCACCTGCATTCTGGGACTGCCATGAGTCGGGGAGCAGCTTTCTTTGGTCAGGGGCTTTTCCCGTGAACCTCGTGAAGTTGTTCTGTGGGTTCAGATGACAGGGTTAGCTTTTGTGGGGGCTGGGTGTTTCTTTGTGGACGCCCTGAGGAAACCGGCAGTGAGATGACGACTCACAAAATTCCCTTCAGAGATTAGGGCCTGGTCCCCACTCAGGAAGGAAGGACTGTGTTCCTTCCCCAGCACAGGGGGAGCATCGTCTTCCCGGGACATTGGCTGGATGCAGCCGTGGAAGTCTAGCACTTGGCTTTTCTCTATTCTCAGAGTTTGTCCCAGGTGGGAAATGGCTGTCATCCCAGCTCTAAGTATTTTCTCAGCCCCGGGGAGCAGGTTACTCCCTTTCTGATCATCTTTGCTACATCTGTTCGAACCCTTTATCCTCTGCTCTCCAGGGGGACACCTGGGGCTGCTGTCCTCCTGGGGGCTGTGCAGTAGGAACCTGGGGTGTTCATGGGAGACGTGGAACTATATCCGGTGCCACCACCCCAAATACAAGCGCAGACCTGCCCGTGGGAAGAAAGGTGCTAGTTGGGTGGCTGACGTTCATGGCCAGGACTCTTGGAGCACGGCAATCGGAGCGGCAGTTTACTCAGCGACAAGTAGGTGGTGGTGACCCATTGGCCTTCTGCAGCCAGCTCCTAGCTTTCTCACGTGGGCACCCTGCAGTCACCACCTGAGAGCCCTACGTGAGCAAAGGCAGCTGCCCCTGCAGTGAAACTGTGGCTAATTCATAGGTCAGCAGTTCAAAACCACCACCCACTCCAGAGGAGAAAGGCAGGCCTTTCTGGCGGTTCTACCCTGTCTAATTGGGTCTCTGGGAGTCAGCACCGGCTCCATGGCAGTGAGTTTGGTGTGGGGGGTTTAAAGTTGCCTTGGCTCAGTCAAGGGAAGCACCTTCTTCAAACTTCTGGGGGAAAAGGCAGGTTAGTCAAAAGCCGTGGGTCATGGCTTCCGGTGTCCAGGATCGGACCCTGGAATAAAAAGGAAGTGTGCCTCTTATCTTGGACAAGTCTGTGTTGGGCAGTACCGAGCAGGGTCAGGATGGAAAGAGGAGCCAGTGGGGAGTCAAGGGTCCTGGGCTCAATTCCCAGCCTTGCCGTGACTTAGGGGTTCTGTGACTTGGAAGAGTACCTGGCCTTCTTTGGACAAAGGAAGTGGACTATGAACTGGAAGGTCTGTTGAGCCGGGGTTGAAACAGAACTTACGTACTCGGGGCGTGTGGCTGAGGGAACTGACTCTTGGCTGGTGCGAAGGAGATCAATGGGCTGTCTGAGGGGCCCTGGGGTTCCGGTAGATGTACACAGGGGTTGGCTCTTTGGAGAATCCCAGATCTGTTGGTGATAAAATGACAACCTCTCAGGGCTTCTCCGCTGGCATGGGCCCTCCAGGGTGGAGGGAGACTTCCTTAGCTTGGGAGCTATGGCTCCACGCGGACCCAAGGACAGCAAGCTGAAATGGGAGCGTCTTCCCGTCCGGAGCCTAGAGGGAGGGCGCTTGGACGTGCATTTTACCTTTTGATCTGAGAAGGTAGACAAGACCACTCTCCCTATGCATGAATGCCCCCGCCCCATTGCTGGAGAAGGACATCATGAAGGGGGGAGTCGAGGGACAGTAAAAATAAGGCAAACCCCACCCCCACCCCCACCGGAGTGATGGGTTAAACCAATAACCCCCACGATGAGCTCCAACAATTCAAAGGCCATGAATACAGCCTGGCATTCACCCAGTCACCCAGGAGTTGGCGCCCACTTGACAGAAGGGGTCTCCAAGAAACTGGCTGCTGCTCTTCTGAATGCTGGGCTTTGTGGAAGCGGCTGGTGCCTGGGCTGTTTCTAGGAGACCGTTGCTTGCAAACTTTCATGTGCACGTGAATCAGCAGGGCCACCTGGCTGAACAGAAACAGGGAGTTATTGGGTCAGGCGGGAGTGGAGTGGGTGCATCTGCCTTTCTCTCAAGCCACAGACTCTGAAAAGCAAAGGAAAGCACTGGGGGGCTGAGTCCTGTGACCCCTGTTTGCTGCATGTCAAAGAAATTAGTCCCCATCTTTGGGGACAGACAGCAGGGCAGACAGACCCTGTTCGTTTAAAGGTTGCAGAGGCCACGTGGGTTTGCTTTGGATGCGTGCACATGGGATCCCTTAACGACGGGACCGTTCCCTGCTATTGCAGGTGGTCACGGGACCAATAGCTCGAGTGGTCCCCAAGACCCCAAGCAGAGCTGCTAACCCAGCAGACTCCAGGCATCAGCAAGTCCTCTTACTCCCTAGACCTGGGCTGGGCCTGGGGACATGCCTTCCAACCAGCCTGGCCCAGGTGGAAAGAGGGCCCTGCTTGCCCCAGGGTTTAAGATTCTAAGGCACAGAAAAGGACTGCTTGTAGCTGGTCCCAGACTCCGGACTCTTCTCTCTGCATAGATGGGAGCTTTCCAAGCTTCTGTAAATGCAGTTTCTGATTACATGAGTCCGGGGCCAGGCCTGGGAGGCTAATTTCCAAACAAGCTCCCAGATGATGGCGATGGGTACTGGTCAGGGTCTCCCTCTTAACAGCAAGCACCTAGACCAGGGGTTTTCAACCCAAGCAGCACACCAGAGCCATCTCTTCAACATTGTGAGGATTGGGGTTTTTTATTTGTATATTTGGCCAGGGGCAGAACAATAGAGACCCAGCAGTTTTTAAAGCACCCAGATGATACTGAGCCCTTCTCTACTCCCTATAAGGACCCCTGATAGTGTAGAGAGCTACAGGCTGGACTGCTAACCTCAAGGTCAGCAGTTCGAACCCACTGGGCTTTCTGTTCCTGTCAAGATTTACAGCATCGGAAATCCACAGGGGCAGTGCTCTTCTGTCCTATCACAGTGACCCTATAGGACAGAACACAGCTGCCCCTGTGGTTTCCAAGGATGTAACTTTTTTATGGGAGTAGAAAGCCTCCTTTCTCCCTTGGAGTGGCTGGTAGTTTTGAACTGCTGGCCTTGCGGTGAGCAGCCCAACGTGGATGAGTCTGAATAGGCTCCAAGGTGGTGAGTCGGGTTTGCAGCAGGGTTACTACGAACCAGAATCGACTAGGCGGCAGTGAGTGAGTCTCGGTCTTATCCCAGAGGGAGAACGAGGCAGCAGCCGATGAGCGGGGATGGGCCGACCAGCAGCTGAGGGTCCGCTCCCCCATCCGAGGTCGGCTTCAGCGGTATCTTCGTCACTCCATGCTGCTATTACCACAGTCGGGTGGCTTTGGTAAACAGGAATGTGTTTTCTCAGCGTTTCCAAGGCTAGACGCCATGGCAGCACAGGACCGTGCCGTGGGGGCGGGGGGCGGCGAGGTGGAGTACAATCTGCACCAGGGGACACGGTCGGAGGAGGGGCACCCACGTGACTGTGTGCTGTCTCAGCAGCAGTGTGTTCTCATTAGTTATTGTAACTTTTATTAATAGTTTGCTTTTTTCATAGGCCCAGTTTACATCTCTCAATATAACCACAAGGCTAAACTCTATACCGATTCACATTCTGAACTTTCTAATACCCTCTGGTCGGAGCTGTCATCATTACCTGATGACAACGGTGCGTCCAATCACGTGGCTTCATCTGGACCTGCCACGGGCGGGCCTGGTTCTGGTTGCTGCCAGTGTTGGGACGCAGGAGAACGCTGAGGCGGTCTGCTTTTGGAGGGTTACTCATTGGGCTGCTGACCACAAGGGCAGCAGTTCAAAACCACCAGCCACTCCGAGGGAGAAAGAGGAGTCTTTCCAATCTCAAATAATGACAGTCTCAGATACCTGAAGGGCAGTTCTACCCTGCCCTCTAGGGTCACCACAAGTTGGAATTGACTGGGCAGCTGTGCGTCTGGTTTTTCAGTTAGCTACAGTAGTGTGTTCACTCCTATTTGTGGACCTTCATCAATAGCCTTTTTGAGAATGAAGTCGTCATTAGAGGAAAATAAGGAGACATTATGTTGCCCCTCGATGTAGGAAGAATTAACAGAACAACTTGCTAGTATTTTGATCATCTGAAACATAATGTAATGATGGACATGTAAGCAATTGACAAGTATATCACATGTTCGTCTATGATCAAAATAGATAATAAGCCTGACTTCTATATGGTCTGGTACAAAAGGAGGCATCTGGAGAGGGGAAGGCCACTAGCCCTCGCCACACCTGGCTAGACCGCCAAATAAATCCAGGGCACTGACTCGAAGGGAGAGGAGCCCGGGTGGCATCGTGATTACTCCTGGTGCTGCAAGCCGCAAGGTCGGCGGTTCAAAACCATCCACCGCTGCCCTGGAGAAAGCTCCCCTATAAAGCGTCCCAGTCTCAGAAGCCCACAGGGGCAGTTCTACCCTGTGCGCTACGGTCGCTCTGAGTCAGCACGGACCTGACGGCTGTGCGCTTGGCTGGGTTTGCGTTTAGCTCAAAGGGCAGCCCTCAGCTCTGAGGAAGCTCTCTCCCCTTCGCTGCCTGACGTGCTGGGGTCCTTGGGGCCTTCTGCATGCTTACCTGTCTCTGCGCCTCATCCGCTCCCTTTATAGCTCAGAAGCGACTGGGTGTGAGTGACCCGCCCCCACCCCCCCATACACTGACATGCTCCTTCAACATAGGAAACAGACTCCCGTTCCCTAGTGAGACTGCATGCGCATAGTGCACCTTGATCCATGATGGTGGGTCGCAGAAAACGTCATGCTGGCTGGAGAAACCCAGCCGATGGCTCAGCCCACCGCTTGGCCCCGGTGCAGCGCGGATCGCGGTGGGCAAAGGAAGTGGCAGGCTTCCTAGAGGCACTGACGAACCCAGGCAGACCTCCCCGCGCATTCCTTGCTGGCTTCCCTGCGTGACTGTCCTGGTGTTCTTGGGGTGGGGACCAGGGTGGCCACTGACCTGTCTCGTTTTGCTCTGGCTAGGTGGCGGTGGGGAGCGGCCACCGACGGTGGGGGGCCCTAAGGCCGAGGACGGCTCGGAGGCCGTGCTCCGCAAGCCCAGGAGCGTGTTCCACATCGAGTGGTCGTCCATTCGGAGGAAGAGCAAAGGTGTGCTTCCTCCCCTGGCTCCCAGGGCCTGGCTGTCCAGGTCTCTAGAATGGGGACAACGGCAGGGCCACTGGGCGGGCTCATTCCAACCCGTCTGACCGCTGAGCTCTGGCCACAGCCAGCTTTGAAGATGTCTGCATGCCCCCCTGCCTCCCCCGGTGATGCCCAGGGGGCAGCCATTGGGTTCTCTGTATTGGAATCACCTGCATGCCCTCTCAGGTGACCCCAACTCAGCTGGTCCTCGGCTTTCCATTGGATTCTGATCTGCGACCGAGCCAGCAATCCCTAGTCTAGGGCCCTAGGGATGAAATGCGCTCACCTGTGGTGGAGATGGGGCGCCACGGGGCAAAGGGGGTTAGTAGACAGACATCCGGGGCTGAGCCAGTGCGAATGAAAGCCAGAAGCAAACACGGGCTTGGAAGCTGCTTACATGTGCGAACAAACAGACACAACTTGTGAGCATTCTCTGAACTGCTGCAGGGTGTAGGAGCCCCAGGCAGAGCCGGGGACGGATCTGAGTATTGAGTCCTGCCCACCCCTCAGCTCTTGGAATGAAGTTGCTTCCAGACTCAGGTCCTTTGGAGACTCTCATGTCCCAGAGGCTGCGTTTAGTGACTCTTCCTCCAAGTGTCTGTACTGCATCATGTCACACCAAAACCCAGCCAGCCCATGACTGCATTTGGAGAGGTTTATAGGGAGGTCACACACCGTGGGGGGAGCACTGCAGATACTTCCAGGGCCCCCCAGCACAGGAGCTTGAGTTTTCCATGACCCTGGGAATGGGAAGGAAGAGACTAAGTCTGCCTCTCTTAGGATCATGGCTGGGGCACGGTAAGGAATGCTTGGAAGAGAGCCCTCTGGCAAACATAGGCGCCTGGGAGGTGGAGGCTGCCGTTCTTAACATTGACCACTGGAGGGAGCCGAGCCCCAAGACTGAAATGCCAAACTCGGTTTGTGCCTTTGAGTTGGTATTAATTATCCAGTCGTGATGAAAATACCGCTTCGTGCCCGCCACATGACAAGCGTTTTCCAGGAATTAAAGGGCGCTCCAAAATCTCTGTCAGGCGGTCACAGGCATTTCACTTGTCCTGGGTCAGGGACCGTGGAGCCTCTAGGCTCCTGTTTCCTCATCTAAAAAGTGAAGGGGTTGAGCTCAATCAGGGCTTCTGCACTCAAGATGGGGAGCTGAGACACCCCACCCTAATTCTTATAAAATGCCCTGTTTATATGCGAGGTCTCAAAGGGGTCCATGACCTGTAAAAGGAAAGAAAACCTTCCAGCTGCGAGATTCCATGGGTCTGGGGGGCTCCTTCCAAGGAAAAAGGAAATACGAAATATTCTTTTGAAATTCAAGTCTTGCAAGAAATTAGCCATGGGAAGGGGCAGGGGATGCAGCTGGGAGATGTCCTAATTGATGATGCGCTTTCTCTCTGTCTCCAGTATTTGGGAAAGGTGGTCACCAGGAGAGAGCAAACAGAGACCCCCTTCCTTATCAGTACCGGAAGCCCACCCTGGAACTGCTTGTGAGTCTGGAACCGCCCGAACCAGGGGCGCCGTGCCCTGCCAGCGGAGTAGGGAGCTGACGCCCCACACACAACCCCTCTGAATTAGACTGGCTATTCCTCCAATGCCTATTTTCAAGAATCATTCGCTGGGATAAACGGTGTCTTTTCCACAGTTATTTTTCTCTTAATTATTATTAGTCCTTCTCTTAATGCAGAATTCTAGGACTTAAAGATAAGCTTTTGCTCGTTTTCAGAAACAGATCCTTGATGTGAGTGATTTCATACCCATAGGCCTATGCCCTGGAGCGCTGGTGGGGTAGGAGGTTATGTGCAGGGCTGCTAACTGCAAGGTCAGCAGTTCAAACCCACGAGCCGCTCTGAGAAAGATGAGGAGAAAGATGTCTGCTCCTATAAATATGTACAGCCTCCGAACCTCCAAAAAAGTCAAGTTCTACCCTGCCCCGGGGTTGCTATGCGTCAGAACCCACTGGACTGTAGGGTGTGAGTTCTGTGCTTACGCAGTTACACGATCAGGACTAGGCATGCTGGGAGTGAGAATGAGATGCCACACCTGGGGAGAAGTGTGGGCTATCCGGTGTAATGATTCCTTAAAAGAATCCGAAGATCCGTGGTTTAATCTTAAGTCCACCATTTGACGTTGACCTTAACCTTTGCAAATAAGACCCTCTCCAAGCCCAGAGCCCAATCCCAGTATCATGACATTATCTTTCAGTTGTGTTTTATGGTGGTTGGCTGTCCATCTTGCCAAACAAAACAAAAGATGCTCTGACCTATTAAAAAAAGGAGCCCATTGGCTCAGCGGTGAGCTAAAAGGTCCAACGTTCCAACCCACCCGGTGCTCCAAGAGAAAGCTGTGGCAGCCTGCCTCCGTAAAGATTCTCCCTCACAAACTCACTGCCACCGAGTCAATGCCAACTCACAGCGACCCCATCGAACAGGGTAGAACTGCCCCCGTGAGCTTCTGAGACTTAACTCTTGACAGAAGTAGAAAGCCCCTGGTTCTCTCAAGGGGCAGTTGGTGGTTTCAAACTACTGACCTTGCCGATCACAGCCCAACACATAACCACTATGCTACCACGGCTCCCTAGGAAGCCCTGGGGGTTTCTACTCTATCTGTCCCATAGGGCCACTGGGGTCAGAACAGACTCCATGACAACAGGTCAACCCGTAGACAGAACAGCTCCAGCACCAACTGGGAATGTTAGCTGTGCCCCCGAGCAGCCAAGCATGCTCCACCTCTCATTGCTGCACAGGACCTCCGTACCATGGAGGAGACCCCCGAGATCAAGGTGGAGGCGGGCAGCCCCACAGTATCCCGGATGCAGAGTTACATGGCTGCCGGTGGGAAGAGGATCAGCAGAGCCCTCAGCTACATCACAGGCGAGATGAAGGAGTGCGGAGAGGGCCTGAAAGGTAAGGGTTCTACCTGAGACGGCCACGCCCCAGCCTTTAAAAGGTCAACTCCTGTTCTGTCATCCCCCGAAGTGCACTGTCAAGTCCCCCCCACCCCACCCCAGACAAGCCCAAGTCCCACAGCCCTGGTCTTCCAGAGGAGATGGGCATTTGGCTTCTTGTCACACATGGACCAGGGAGTGTCAAAGTCGGGGGGGGGGGGGCAGAGATGGGATTCAAAGACAATGGCATTTCCCCACGACTTCTTTGCCCGTCTCTTGGGAGGTGCACACCGATAAGTCTGAATGAGTAAGCTCTCGTTTCTGAACACAAACCCCGGGTTCCATCCGACATCCCAGCAGAAGGGTGCAGAGGGAAACAGTTTCACACTGGGGTTCCAGAGCATTCTAGAAAAGCGCCCTCTGAATGCCTCACAGAACACTGCCCATCATTCCAGCAGGTTCTCTTTCAACGTCTCCCTAGAGCTCACATCCAGGTTGGATGCACTTTCCTGCAGCAAGTCTGATCCCTCCCTGGATCAGTCATTTGTCTTCGAAAGTCCACTCTACTATCGTGAGAAAGGGTGGGGCACAGACAGGGCCAGGTACTCAAACCCCACTGCTTAGAACAGTGGTTCTCGACCTTCCTAATGCCTCAACCCTTTCATACAGTCCCTCATGTGGTGGTGACCCCCCAACCATAAAATTGTGTTCATTGCTACTTCATCACTGTCATTTTGCTACTGTTATGAATCGGGCGACCCCTGTGAAAGAGCCATTCGACCCCCAAAGGGGTCACGACCCCCAGGTTGAGAACCGCTGGCTTCGAAGCTGGCCTCAAGACCATGTGCAGCAGACAGCACATAGCACGTCAGGTACCCTCCCCGCATCTTTGTACCTCTCTGTGGTGGCTGGAGGAGCCCTGGTGGCAGAGTGGTTACAGGTTGGGCTACTAACTACAAGGCTAACGGTTCAAAGCCACTAGCTGCTCTGCAGGAGAAAAACGAGGTTTTCTGCTCCTGCAAAGATTTACAGCCTTGGACACACAAGGGCAGTTCTACCCTAGCCTAGTTGGAATCAACCCAATGGCTGAGTGAGTGAGTGAGTGCTCCCTACAGACCCACTTGGATGCTGAGACTCCCTCCCACCCCCGCCCCCATCCCAAACCCCACCCCACACCCCCCCCCCCCCCCCCCCCCCCCCCACGCGGGCTCCCTGAGCCGCTGCTGATGTCCTTGCAGACAAGTCGCCGGTGTTCCAGTTTCTGGACTGGGTCCTCCGAGGCACGTCCCAGGTCATGTTTGTGAACAACCCCCTCAGCGGCGTCCTCATCGTCCTGGGCCTCTTCATCCAGAACCCCTGGTGGGCCATCTCAGGCTGCCTGGGGACCATTGTCTCCACGCTGACAGCTCTCATCCTCAGTCAGGACAAGTAAGTCCCCTGCGCCGTGGAGCCCAGACACCCAGAGCCCACACTCAGGGCCACAGAGCCCTCCTGTGGAGGCCACACCCCCTACCCAGCCACCGCCCGGATGCTGGCCCCCATCCCAGTAAGAACGCTAGCTGACACTGGCCCCTCCGCGGGGGCTTGCCTTCCTGATGGTGGTATTTGTAGCTCCCTGCATGGTAGCGCAGAGATCCATCACAGAGCAGCAGCCGTGTAAGCATTTCCTCCATAGAATTCAGTTCACATGAAATGGTATTCGCCAGACGGTGACCATCACCACCTTCCATTTTCCCAGTCGTCTGCCATCACCCCGAGCCCAGCACCCCATCAACCATCATGCCATTTTCCCTCCGCCAGCCCCCACTCATGCCCTTCCTCTCTGGGCACGTGCTTGCTGGAGGGCTGGTGCCTGGGACACACTGTGTGTCCTGTCCTCTCGGCTGATTCTACTCCACATTGCAGCTGACTGTTGGAGGCCCCGGGTCTACCAGCAGTCCGTGCTGTCCTCAGAGCTACTCATGGTTGAGGGGGGCTGTGTGGGGCTGGTGGCAGGCTCCCTTCTCCCCGATCCTAGAGGAGAGGCGGCTGTGAAGGGTGGTCAGGGCCCATTAGAGCAGTGGTTCTCAACCTGTGGGTCAAGACCCCTTTGGGGTCAAACAACTCTTTCATGGGGGTGGCCTAATACATCCTGCATATCAGATATTTACATGATTCATCACAGTAGTAAAATGACAGTGATGAAGTAGCCACAAGAATAATGTTAGGGTTGGGGGTCACTACCACATGAGGAACTGTCTGAAAGGGTCATGGCATTCGGAAGGTGGAGAACCACTGCTCTGAGAGGAAAATCAGAGGCAGAGGCCAGTTCCAAAGAGAGGCTTCCCCTCGTCAGGGACCCCTCACCAGCCCTCGCTCCACCTCCCCCAGATCGGCCATCGCCGCAGGACTCCACGGGTACAACGGAGTGCTGGTGGGACTGCTGATGGCCGTCTTCTCCGACAAAGGGGACTACTACTGGTGGCTTCTGCTCCCGGTCATCGTGATGTCCATGTCCTGGTAAATTTGCCTCCATGTGGGTGGGCTCAGACCGGGGGCCCCAAACCTCCCCCACTCACTGTGCAAGCCCTATTCAAAAGTCACGGGAACTTAGCTCGCCCATAGGGACAGCCTGCTGGGAATGCGGGCACCCGGTCAGCCACTCCACCACAGCGTCTCACACCTTCCCCTGCACTCCTCGTAGTCTTTGCTTTCGAAAGACCTTAAAGGGCCGTTTCTCAGCCCCCTTTGCCAGCATGGAGAGACTGACTCACAGAGGTTAAGATTCCCACGGGTTGCACCAGGGCCTGTCAGTTCTCATGCCTCCTCCCTGCCCTGCTCTTCATGTCCGTGGGAGCCCTGAGCAGACCAAGACAAGCTCCCAGTGGGCTGAAGCCAGGGCGCCAGAACCCTCCCCTCTAGGAAGCTTGGGGCACTCTGGACTGGGGTTGTGTGCCCTCGGCTTCTCAGAGAACGCCGTTGAGTGAACGTGGTTCACTCCCTCTCTCCTCATGTCTGTGAGTGGAGTCGCAGACTCTGGGACTTCTCCCGGGAAGGGTAACTTTCCCCAGAAGCCCTCCTTCGAGAGGCCTGGAGTCTGGACAGCCCACCTATCATGGGGCCTGGCCCAGGAAGGGGGCCAATGGAAGGTCCCCACAAGCCAGCCAGGGTCAGGGAGGGTGTCCCGTAGGCTGCTCATCTCCAAAAGGGAACCCACTCCCACTCAGTCCCGACAGCCGCCTCACGGGTCAGGACCGGGTGGCTTCTTGAGTGGCACCTCTTGTGCTTCTGCCGTCAGCCCCATCCTCTCCAGCGCCCTGGGCACCATCTTCAGCAAGTGGGACCTCCCGGTCTTCACGCTGCCCTTCAACATCGCAGTGACCCTGTACCTGGCAGCCACCGGCCACTACAACCTCTTCTTCCCCACGGCACTGCTGCAGCCTGCATCCTCGGTGCCCAACATCACCTGGTCGGATGTCCAAGTGCCGCTGGTAGGTGGCATCGTGGGTGGTCTGTCCAAACACTGCTGAAAAGTGGCGTTTACTTATTGATCGTGTCAGACACACCAGAGGTGGGGTTGTCGTTCATTTCCCTGGAGACCGCTCCAGCTGTGGTGGCCCCGTGGCACCAGAACACAGCGCTGTTCTGAGCTGTCTGATAGTCAGGGTGCTCATGCTCATCGTATTGGAGCCACTGTGTTCTTCCGAGTGCCGTCCACCTGGGAGCACCCCCTCCAGCACACTAGAGACAGTGCTCTGTGGGGTCCATAGGGCGGTCACCGGCTCTTTCTCAGACGTTGATGCCTGGTTTAGATGGCTGCTTGTTTTAGGACAAGCCTTTCAGATCCCAGACGTGATCCTTTCTGATAGCCGGGCACCATCTGGTTTCTTCACCACACGTTGCTCATCTCCAGTGATCTGTGACAAGCCAGGCCATGTCCTAAGAGCTAATGGTTCTTTTTTTGTGGAGGGGCGGATATATTTTCCTCTCTTTTTAAAAAAAGTTTAATCATTTTATCGGGAGCTCTTGCAGCTATCATAACATTCCATAGTTCTATCACACCAAGCAGTGCTGTACAATTGCTACCACAATCGGTTTCAAAACATTTTTTTTCTTTTTAAACTCCTTGATATCAGCTCCCCTTTATCCTCTACCCCTTTACCACCCAAGATTCCTTTTTGCCCCCTATAATAATTGTTTGGGGGTTTCCCCCCATATTTTACACAATCCAATGTATCCATTCACATACAATTCTGTTGTTCAATCCCACCGAGTGGGCTAATACAGTCATCAATGCTGTCAAGAGCTAATGGTTCTCAGATTGGGGCTAGAATTAAGTGTGAGCCCCCAATCCTTTCATGTATCTGTTGTTTGGGGTGCTGGGGAAGAATATTGAAAGTATGGTGGACTGCCAAAGAGACAAACAAACCCATCTTGGAAGAAATACTGCCAGAATACTCCGTTAGAGACCAAAGATGGCGAGACTTTGCCTCACACACTCTGGACTTGTCACGAGAGACCTGTCCCTGGAGAAGGACATCATGCTCAGTGAGGTAGAGGGGCAGCGAAAAGGAGGAAGGCCCCCCGCAAGACGGATGGACAGTGGCTAACCCAACCATAAGCACCACTGGGAGGACGTCTCAGGACCGGGTGATGCTGAGCTCTGCTGTGCAGGGGGCCCAGCATCTTCGTGGCACCCCATCTGCCACCGTCTGGCACACTGAGGAATGGGCAGTGACCACAAGTAACAGCTATTCCATCTGCCGCGGGGCATTGTACGAACAAGAATTCATTAGACCCCATCCTGCGAAGCGCAGATCAGGGTGGCAAACTGAACCAGTGCCCAGAGAGAGACTGCCAAGCTCTCACGGTCACTATTCACCACCACTCACAACAACCCTGTCAGCACCTCCCCCCATGCTCCAGTACCTGACCCATGGACCCATGGGGAGAGAGCCACGCGGGGGGAAGGGCAGAGACTGTGGCTAGAGGAGCTGTGCTCAGTGATCCGCTGCACCGCAAGCACCCAGCTAGCTAGCAGCAGCGTCGGACACTAGCTCTCGGGCCTCCTGCCTCCCACACCAGCCCATTCTCCCCTTGCTTTAAATTCCACGGTCTTTGTGATGCTTTCCTCCTGCTTGGGCTGAGCACCTTCTTTCCGGTGACCGCAGTGGACACCGAGGGGCAGGCACCTTGCCGAACTCCCTAGCCTCCTTTGGGTTAAGAAGTCGCTGCTCCCCCTCAAGGATCTGTCCTTTGGGTTCCGGAGCGCGGGGCCATTGCTGGTTCAGGCGCTGCTCCTCCTAGAGTCCCAGCCCCAGCCCCTCCAGCGGTCTGCGCAGGCGCGCTGTATCTGAGGGCGGCTTCTGTAAGCCTGCCCGTCTAATCAACGCTGCACCAAACAGAGGGATGCTGCTCGGAGAAGCAGGGCAGGGGCTCCTTATCCACCCAGACGGGGGTTCTGAGGCTCTCACTTCCTGCCCACCCCCCTCCAAGGCCCAAGGCCCCACGGCAGCGTCCTTGGTTGGCAATACATCCCCTCACCACAGGCAGCCAGGGCTTGCTGGAGGAACCTTGTTGCAGAAATGATGGCACAAGGTCTCTCAGGCGGCAGCAGTAAGGCGGGGATCAGGGGTGGGGGGCAGCCCCTTGCACTGAGGAGCAGCAGCGTCTGGAGAGGCCCCTTGTAGGTGTGCTGTTGGGGGGGGGGGCTTCCTGAGCAGACCCCATAGAGATCCTGCCAGGGCCACGGAAGAAGCAAGCGGGCATGCTGGCAATTCGGCTTCTAGGCGTTGACCCCTTGTGCTCACAGAATCGGTAGGGAGACGGCTTCCAAAAGTGGGGGGGAGGGGGGAGGAATGAGGGGGTAATGGAATTTTTCCACGATCTTTTTAAAAGTCCCCTCAGACCTCTGGAGGCCAGACAGCTCAAATGGGTGCACTCCGGGGAGACGATTTCGGAAGAGGCCATTTGTGGCTATTTCTCAGGGTTCCCGCCCACATTTTCAATGAGAACAAATGAAGGGGGAAAATTATTTGGGAAACCAGCTAGCACTCCAAAATTCCAAGAATAGTAAAAAAGGGCATTTCATTCAGCGGGGGTGGGGGGGATTTCTCCTCCTCCTCCAAACCCCGCCCCCCGGCCCTCCTCCATGAAACAGCTTTGGAACCAAGTGAATGGCCCAGAAGCACAGTAGACATGTTGTTATTCTGCAGTAAGATCATTTGAGCCTTCAGTTTGGGGGAAACAGGAAGTGCCTGTTTCCTGCGGGTCCCCTGCCCGTGGGGTCCCGGAGCCCAGGGAGGGCCCCCTTCCGGAGGGCATGGCTTGATGGGGACTACTCAGCCTTGGCGCTATCTCCTCCATGACGCTTGTCTTTCCCTTGAATGGCACGGGCCTGGAACTCTGGACAGACCGACACCGAATCCAGCTGGTGAGCCCATCAGGCCAGGCCAGCAAGCTCGCCCGCCCCCTGGGTGTGATGGCCCCTGATCTCCCTCCCCAGTGGCCCCACCCAGCAGCAGCCTCTCCAGGCAGAGGTGGGCCAAGAGAACAGGTGCCTGGCATGAGGGCACCCCCTGGCTCTTCTCCACTTACCACCCAGGGGTGAGACGATCCCAGAGCACCCCAGAGAGCCTAGAACCTCCTCCCTGAGTACTCACTTAGCGACAGGGACCATGGTCAGCATTCTCAGAACCCAGCGCCAGGGTGAGGAAAGCTGGTGTCCCAGGTCAGGTCCCACTGACCGGATACCCTCTCCCAGGCCCCAGACCCAGGTGCAATGCCCACAGAGTAACGGGGGCCAGCCCCTCACGTGCCTTTTGCATTCAGCAAGGAGGCTGGTCCCAGAGCTCCCAGGAGGCCTGGCTCAAGCAGTGGGCCGGTCCCACCGGATAGCCCCGAAAGGACATACCAAAGGCCACCTCCATCTGGGGTTGGTCTCCACAGACCAGCCTCCCATCAGCGCCTGACCTCCTACGCATCTTCCAAAGACTCCTGGCAGGCACAAGCAGTTTGTTCACAACTGCTAACCTCAAGTTTGGCAGTTCAAATCCACCCAGTGGCACCTCAGAAGACAGGTCTGGCAATCTGCTTCTGTAAAGATTACAGCCGAGAAACCCTGTGGGGGCAGTCCTGCCTCTATAACATGTGGGGCGGCTGGCAGTCAAAAGCAACTAGAGTACTCAGTGGATCGGGGTCCCATTGAACCCAAACTCACTGCCATCCAGACAACCCTACAGGACAGGGTAGAACTGCCCCTGTGGGTTTCCCAGATTCTCACTCGTTACAGGAGTAGAAAGCCTCGTCTTTCTCCTGAAGAGCAGCTGGTGGTTTCAAACTGCTGACCTTGGAGTTAGCCCAACGTGGAACCCACTATGCCCCTTTTACACACCTTTTATAACTAGTGCTTTAAAACTAAACATTGTAAGCGAGTTTGTGAACCCTAACTTGGGTCAGACATGGCTTGAGTGTCTGATGATGACCCCCTGCCTTTGGGAGGCTTTCCGTTTCTCCCCACGGAGGGCACGCACCTTAGTCTGCCATCGGCAGAGATTCCGTGGGTTCAGGTCCAGACCACCGCAATAAGGCGCGTCAGCATAAAGCGACTGTGGGCGGGTGGGTGTGGGTGTCTGTGGTTTCCCTGTCCATACAAACATCTACTTACACTGTGCTGTGGGCTAGTTAACATGTGCAATTGCATTATGAACCAGTGTGTGTGTGTGTGTGTGTGTGTGTGTGTGTGTGTGTGTGTGTGTGAGAATTACTAAAACATAAGCCAGCGACATGAAGTGAGCACCCATTGTTGGGGGGAAAAGGGCACCAATCGACTTGCTCAACACAGGGTTGCCACACATCCTTCGATTTGCAGAGAAAAGAAAGGCGTAGTAGAAAGAGGTATGCCCGTACTGGGGTTTCAAAATAAAGGAAGCTCAGCATCCTGACCCCGGGGGTTCGGAGAGCCACACCTGTGTCCCTTGCAGAGTGGCGCTGACTCATGTGACAAACAGCCTTGGAAACCTGCTGCTGAGGGTTGGCGTGGAGGGCGCGGGGTGGGGTCTTCTCCAGCCGTGGCCCTTGCCTTCGTGATAAGCCTGTGACCCTGTCTCACCCACAGCTCTTGCGAGCCATCCCCGTTGGAATCGGCCAGGTGTACGGATGCGACAACCCCTGGACCGGGGGCATTTTCCTCTTTGCTTTGTTCATTTCCTCGCCTCTTGTCTGCTTACACGCAGCCATTGGATCCACCGTGGGCGTGCTGGCAGGTCAGTGTGCGCACCCCAGGGTGGCCCGGTCCTCCGGGACCCACCTGCCAGTCCTGCAAACGTTCTCTCCTCCCTCTGTGCCCCTTTCTCCACCTCTCGTGCCGGTGCCCCTGGGCCCCCTCAATGCAAGAGCTGCCCTCAAGAACCGTTCAGGTGTTAATCACTGCTACTCTAGTAAAAATGTAAAGTTCGTTGAAGGGGCATATTTTCTGACAAACATATCCGACTATAAGTCTTATCTCCAACCATGAAACCAAAGACACCAGATTCCCTGCCATCAAATCAACGCCGACTCATAGCGACCCTACAGGACAGGGCGGAGCTGCCCCTGTGAGTTTCTGGGGCTGTGGACAGGAGTAGAGAGTCCCAACTTTCTCCGGTGGAGCAGCTGGTGGTTTCAAACTGCTGACCTTGTGTAACTACCACACTACTATGACTACGACTAATAATAACAATAAGTATTTTCCATTAAAGAACATTAAGATAACCGTAAAGACAGAGGGTCCCTTTGCGGGGGAACCAAAACCCACTGCTATTGAGTCAATTCTGACTCACAGACACCCTGTCGGGCAGAGCAAGACTGCTTTGAAGGTCACAGAGACCGTTGATCTTTATGAGAGGAGACAGCCTCATCTTTCGCTCACCTGGAGCCAAGCTGGCAGTCAGCCGCCCAACACTTAATCCACATGCCACTAATTAAATCCAGCCTCAGCGGCCTTACCCAGAGGGTCTCCAGCCCGTACCAGCTTAGCCACCAGGGAGCCTGAGGCCCTATGGCTTTTTGCTCCTTTCAGATGTTCTTTCCCTAAATAGCAATCTGAAGGGGTTTTCAGAAGTGCCTGACAGGCTAGCAGGGTCTGGGCCATGAGCGGCTGATCCCGGCGGTCAGGGCGGGCCAGTGGGGGGACCAGGCACACACACCCCTAGCTCTTTCCCCCCCTTTCTCTCACAGCTCTCACCATCGCCACACCCTTCAACTCCATCTACTTCGGCCTGTGTGGCTTCAACAGCACCCTGGCCTGCATTGCCATCGGAGGCATGTTCTACGTCATTACCTGGCAGACGCACCTCCTCGCCATTGCCTGCGGTAAGCGCCCCCAACAGAATTCCCTTCCCACCCCACAGGAAGCCTGCATCTGTCCCACTGTGGGTTAGGCAGGGTTCTCTAGAGAAACAAAACCAGGACACTTATGGATATATATATATAGAGAGAGAGAGAGAGGGGTTTACGCAGCACAAAGGAATATAACAGCTAATTAGCCCACACAGCAGTACAGAGGGCTCAGTTCAACTCACTTCTGTGGAAATCCTTCAACTCACGAAGGGCTGCTGGGTCCCAGGTCAAGGAAGCAGGTAGCTGAGTCTTCCCTGGGCAATGCAGGCAGAATCCGCCCAGACATGCAAACAGCAGGGCGAGTCACCAACAGTCAGAAGCTCAGGAGCTTCGAGAAGCAAGCCCAGAAGGGACATCAAACTCAAGCCATGCAAGACGACAGGATCCACCAGCCTCCAGCTCAAGCGATGTGCACACCCACAGCGCGGCAAAGCAGGTCTCAAAGGAGCCTCAAGCTCTAGCGACACGATCCAGTTTGGCTTCTCCCACAGATAGTGTAGCGCACACGTTGTGGCAGAGAACTAGCTAAGTAGCTGCAAGCTGGTCCAATCACCAGAGAGCAAGAGAGCGAGGGGCGGGCCTTGCTGAGCCATTTATCTCCCTGCCCTCCAATCAAACTGATTAATCCCACATGCTCCTACTCGCCAGGTTGACACAATAAGCCTACCTATCCCATACCACGAGGGTGGTCTTTGGAAATTACCCAAATTACCCAACGATGAGTTGGGGGCGGGGGGGGTTAAGACTCCCCCGCCCACCCCATCATCCCAGTCCTCATGGCCATTCGAATTGGTTCCAGCTCATGTCAACTTCTGTGTGTTCAAGTAGAACTCTGCTCCTGAGGGTTTCCCGTGGCTGATTTCCCCCCTTCCCCAAGAAATCAATGTCCACGCCTTTCTTCTGAGGCACCTAGGGGTGGACCTGAACCTCCAACCCTCCAGTTAGCAGTGGAGCATGCGAACTATTGGCCCCTCCCCGGGACTCGTGTTCATCATCCATGGCCTTTGAGTGGAGTCCATCTCCTCGAGACCCTGTCGGACAGGGACGAGCTGCCCCCGTGGGCTGCCACGTCTTTCTTCTAGAGCCCTGATGGCTCCAAACCACTGCCCCGTCCGCTTGCAGGCGAGTGCTCTAACCACTGCCCCAGGCGGGCACCTGCTTCCCATGGGTTCCTTCCTGATGAATACACTCAAAGCTATTTTTCCACCCAACATCCAGGGTTCAGCCTCACGAAGACAGACTTTTTGAGATGGCGGTGATTGTGTTAGATGGTTGCTCTGGCCCACAACACTGTTTCCTGTTCCACAGTCACATTAGCCTACGCTGTTCTGTAATCTCCTCTTCCCCCTTCCAACTTGAAACCCTGCCGCTAAAAGAATAGGGACCTCGTGCTGGTTAACTTCCCCGAGCCCCCACTGGAACATGAAGACAAGCGTTTTAGGGACGCTGGACCCCGTGGTTGGGAGGAGTCGCAGTGAGCACCCAGTCACCCTAATAGAGATTGTTGTTGTCAGGTGCCCTTGCGTGGGTTCTGGCTTGTAGCGACCTGGTAGAGCAGAGTGAAACCCCGCGCGCGCGCACACACACACACACACACACTTGTTACGCTCAAGCCCCTTGTCGCAACTGCTGTGTCGATCCATCTTGCGGAGGGTCTTCCTCTTTTCCGCTGCCCCTCAGCTTGACCATGGAATCGATGTGTTTGAAGGGTGGTGAATATTTCGAAGAATATGGAAAGTAGGGTGAACTGCCAAACTGACCAGCAAACCCGTCTTGGAAGAAGGACCGCTGGAGTGCTCCTGAGAGGCGAGGATGGACATGCGGTCAGGAGATGCGCACTCTCTTGTGAAGTGGAGGGCGGCGAGGTGGACTGGCCCACGGCTGCAGCAATGGGCTCCGGCTTAGGCACAGCTGTGAGCATGGCCCAGGCCCAAGTGGTGTTTCGTTCTTTGGGACACAGGGTCGCTAGAGGCTGGTCTAAGCTCGATGGCGCCTACCAACAATGGCTTTGCCAAGCATGATGCCCTTGTCCGGGGGTGGGTCTCTCCTGGCCACATGTCCAAAGCTCATGAGGCAAAGTCTCGCCATCCTTGCCTCGAAGGAGCATGCTGGCTGTCTTTCTTCCAGAACAGATCCGTTTGTTCTTTTGGCAGTCGGGCACTTTCCATCGTCCCTGCCATCACCGTCATTCAAATGCATCGAAGCTTCTTGGGTCTTCCTTATCCTGTGTCCAACTTTCGCATGTGTATGAGGCCAGTGATGTAATAAAGGTTGGCTTCCATTTATAGCTGAGTCCCCGAGGGGTACAAACAGTCACCACCCTGCAGCAGCCCCCCGAGGTGCCTCAGATGGCCAGCAGGGCGGCCTTCTTCGGACGAGTCGGCCATGTGGAGCCCTATGAAATGCAGCTGTCCTCCGGGGGCTCACAAGGAGCCAGACCAGCTCCACAGCAGCAGCAGTATTGTTTTTTGTTCCTGGCCATCCCCACCCCAGGAGGTTAAGAGACTGACCGACCTGAGACGAAGCCAAATGCCAGTCCCTTTTCACAGCCCCTCACCTCTCTGGCACCGGCACTTCCCAAATGCCACCGGGCCAAGCCTCAGCCAAGCCTGGAAGGTGAGGCAGCCAGCACGCCTGCTTGTTCCTCAATCTCCCACCAAGCTGCTCCTCCCTGGACACCCAGACCATGTTAAGAACATGTGAGGAAACATCACAGCCGGGAGTTCTGGGATTCACATGCCAGCTCACGTCCACCCAGGACTTCTGAACCATGTACATCTGCCGTCTTAGCTGGCCTCGGTGTAGAATTGCTCCAAGCTGCCAACCAATGGAAACCATACTCAGAGCATGTCCTTGTAGTCTGTGGCTACAGAATGAGTGGGGAGAGCATACAGGGTACGCCAGGGGACTGATACTCAATCGTTTCTTGTTGGCTCTTTTTCCAGCACTGTTTGCAGCCTACCTGGGGGCTGCCCTGGCGAACATGCTGTCCGTGGTGAGTACCCCTGGCCCAGAGCCAGCCCACAGCACCAGCCCGGGGGTTGCTCTACTCCCCGGAGCCTGCTGCTCAGAGCCCCACCTCCAGACACCCTGACCCAGTCTGTCCCTCTTCTCTCAGTCACCGTGCTCACCCCCACCCACCAGACTGGAAGTGCTGGGTCTCAAGCCAGTCCCCTTGTCTGTGAGTCATTGGAGCGCCTTCTAGAAAGGGGATTTGCAGAGCACCATTGTATGAATCAAAATTTTGAATCCTACTTCTGTCTACCGTGGGAGGAGTGCAAGGTCAGCCGTTCAAGCCCCCAGCCACTCTGTGGGAGAAAGACGGGCTTTCTACTCCCATGAAGACTTGTAGTGTTTGGAAACCCACACGGGCTGTCCTACGGGGCCCTTAGGACCCAGAAGTGACTGGATGGCAGTGAGGTTGGGTATCTCTCTATAGTACCATCCTCTAGAGCTATTTGGAAACCTTTACTATTTCAGATCGTTGTGTGCTTGTAGATTGTCTCAGCAACTAGCTCGTGAGCCGGTGGACACAACCGTCGAGTAGCTGGCACAGGGCTTGTTGAGTCCCTTAGAGACTTAGAGAGGTTCCTCTCGGTCCCTGTACAGTGCCAGTGCTAAATGGAGCAAGAGTTCAGAGGTGGGAGAAAAGATGTGGGGTCCCTAGTGAAGGCTTCAGGGGGAGGGACCATGAAGACCCCGCGGAGCCCGGGGAAGGCAGAGCTGGGAGTTTAGAGACCTGGGCAGGAGTCCAAGGCTCTTGTCTGTCTGAGGCCCAGTTCAGGGTGCTGTGTGACGTTGGAGTCACTTGGTAGCCAGCACCAGCCCTCCAACACACACACAACAGGGTGGGCCCAGTCCCCACACGCCAGCACAGAATCTATGGCCCAGGGCTCAGCCATGGTCACTGGCTCCTGGTTTTAGGTAAGTGCATGCTTCACACGGTCAACCAGGAAAAAGGCCCAGCGATCCTGGGCCTGGAGATGAGGTGGGCATTCTACTCATGCCTCGTTCCCCACCCCCACCCCCATCCTCTTGAAAATGGGTGGTTTAGACTTAGCATACAGGAAAGGATCTAGTCTTCCGAGGATCCTGTTCCATCTCCCAAAATGGATGAAGTCCTCTGGCCCCCTGTGGATTTTTGTGCATGCACACACACACACACACACACAGGCTACAACATGTGACAGTCAAGTACCGGTGGGTCTTCTTCCACGTTCAACCCACGTGCTCCTTCAGAGCAGGGGTCCTGTTGCATCCGCGTTCTCTCTGGCACCGAGGGCCGAGGCCAGCGCAGAGTAGATGCTCAAGAAATGCTGCACGAAGGAACGCTGGAGGTCATGAGCTCCCACGCCCGGAAACATTCTCTCTGGAGCCAAAGAAGGCTCTGGAAGGATGTGTGGAGGGAACTCCTCATGCATGGCTTTTCCTTGAAACAGTTCTGATACCAAGCCACCATTGCCCTTCCCCAAGTCCCGCCCAAGTGCCATCTTTCAACACATGTGTGCATGGTATGTTCTGTGAGCCACACACCCCGTGCCCCCCAGCCAATGCTGGAGGATCCCCTCTAAGATGGCGTGAAAGTCATTGCTACCTCAAAGGGATTGCTGTGATTGAGTGCTGACAATAGAGTGATCTGGGAGGAGAGCTGGCCCGGTGTGATCTACCTCTACTTAAGTTACAGGCTCTCTGTTAGCAAGCTCTGCGCTCAGAGTGTCTCAAAGGCTGAGCAGGGAGGGGTAGTTCGAGGGCCTCGGCATCTCAAGGAAGGGTCCCATTGGGCTTCATGAGAAAGGAAGTGGGCAGTGGGGGAGTCTTGAGAACAGAGGCAGCTACCTCTACCTGAAGACCCCCTGGACTTGGATGTCCCATCTCTGCCTTTCTCCACATGCCCGCTCCATTCCCGAGTCTCTACCTGGATTTCCTCTGCAGCACACAGCCCCCAGTGGCCGGCCAGCCTGCTTCGCCACACCTTTGTGCTCGGGGACTCTCACACCATTTCTGGAGAGAGGCACTGCATTTGCCTCTTAGTGCAAACTCTCCAGAAAGATTCTGCTGGGCCAGGCTACCTTCCTATAGGAAATCTTCATTTGATCCGGGTGCCTACCTCCAGACCAGTCAGCTGTGACCAAAGAGAAAAGGGTCAAGGCATCGGAATGGAGGCTGATGGGAGAAGGTGGTAGAACGGTAAAGTTCTAAGAGTTGGGGGGTCGAGCCTGACCAGACACCCCCGACCATGCCATTGAGGTGAAAGTAGATGATAATAGGGTTCCAATGGATGCATCGTGAAGCATGTCTGCTCCCCTATTGCAATGCAGGTTGGCATGATTTTTTATGTAGGTCAGCAGCATCAGTGCCTACAGAGCCCCACCCTCCCACCCAACCCTTGCCAGGATTACAGGTGATGGGTGAGGGCTGATGAAACCAGCCCAGGCATCTGGTGTGACCAATGCTGCTCTGTTCTATCCCCCCTCAGTTTGGATTACCACCCTGCACCTGGCCCTTCTGCCTCTCAGCGCTCACCTTCCTGCTGCTGACGACCAACAACCCTGCCATCTACAAGCTCCCCCTCAGCAAAGTCACCTACCCCGAAGCCAACCGCATCTACTACCTGTCCCAAGAGAGAAACCGAAGGGCGTCTACCATAACCAAGTACCAGGCCTACGACGTCTCCTAAATTGCCTCTTCCAAAACGGGGCCACTCCGCCTCCCACGGACTGGCTGGGCCCCCAGGCTGAAGCCACTAGGACTTCCTTTCTGCCTGCTCTGTGATTCTCCCCGCAAGCGAGCCTACACCCCCAGGGACTTCCAACCACAGGGAAGAGGTGGATCCCCACTGGGGAGCCTCTCTGTTCTAAGATGCATAACACCTATGAAGGATATGGTTAGTTTCGACTTTAGACCCAAAGCCACGCCGAAAGAGCTCCCTTTGAGGGCGACTTGCCTTCTGAAAATTAAGCCCCATCCCCAAAGAGAAGGCACTGGGACAGGGGCAGAGATTAAGGATGGTATTCGTTTGTTGGGAAGCTCAGAGCTGGGGAACAGGCTGGCAGGTGGACAGGCTGATCAGCACCAGCTCTGCCTCTAAGAGAGTCTTTTCCTGTTCTCAGCCTTGATTTCTCATTGGGTCCATGAACAGGGTGGGGCTCCAGAGCCCACCCACGCCCACCCCCACCCCCACCCAACTAGTGTTGATTCTCTCTCTCCCGCAAACAGGTGGAAGCAGTATAGCCCAGGAGTTGCTCTGCATGAGAGAAAGCTTCCTTCCCCAGAGATGAAGTGAGGGCGGTGGTAGTCTAGGGTGGGCTGGGGCTGCAGGGCTGGGGTTCAGACTCCAGAGCCACCGAAAACGCCAACGTGCCTACCCATCCATGGGAGAGGCGGTTCTGAACTTGTCGTGAAATGAAAGCTGATCTCTTGCAACATTCAAATCATCATTCTGAACCAGCGTGATCCTTTTGTAATATTCACAATCATGTTTTCAATAAACTACTCTGCAAGTTGTTGTCAGAGTTTGGGGTTGTTGTTGTTTTTTAATCCTTTGATACCTCCTCCCCCACCTCGGCCCACCTCCCCTCCCCACCCCAAGGGTAGGGTGGGGGGTCGAGGTTTCCACAGTCCTGCATAGTTTGAGGTGCGTCTGGGCGTGTTTGCAGCGTCAGCTTTTCTCTTAGTAGTTGGGCATTTAACCAACATAAGGGGGAGCGGGGAGGGAAGGGGTAGAATCTTCTATACATGAAATCCTGACGGCTTGTGTCAGCTCCTGCCAACCACCGTAGGTGTCCCTTCCAGGCCCTGGCTAGCCAAGTTCAACGTCTCTGCACATACAGAGCACCTCTTGCTGGAAACAAATCCTCCTCGTTGGAACAGGGAGCCTTGAGTCACACTCCAGAGGCTCCCTCTAAGTGAGCAGCCACACCTTGGCCGTGGAATTGTGGCCCTCTGGGGAGTTAAGTATCCAGGAATTCCACTAGAAGGCTGCTTGTGCTCACAGCTCCCTAGGCCCCAGACCTTGCGGGTGACGGCATGGAGCCATTGAAGGGCCAGCTTTCATGCATGCCCCGCTGAAGTGCTGTAATGTGGTTTCATTAAGAACAGGAAACCCTCTCTGAGCTTGTCGTTCAGATTATTAGTCACCAATAAAACCCTTCAGCTGTTCTAAGTATTTCGATATCCTCACCTCTCAAGCAAGTTGAGTTGGCTCAGGAGTCTAAGCAAGACGGAAACCGATGGGGTAAAAGAATTAGATCCATGTAAGTGAGCCCTGCCTAGGGAATACCCCAAAGCAGGCAATTGAATCCAGCCCCTCAATCAGGCATCGAACCCTGGACTGTCAGAGCCAAGCTGCACCAGCTCCTGAGAGCTGATTGGGTGAGTGAGCACATTTCTCCCAACTCCAGGTTCAGTAGCATCACTTGAAATCAGCTGTGATGGGAGTATTTACACCCCAGGAATCAGCAGGCTCTACCTGTATGCCCTCCACCCAAGTGGCGTACAGCATACCACTGACAGACCAAGGTGACTGGCAGAGAGAGATAAACAATTATGGGGCTCCTGACCAAAGAATCAGACACAGTGTCCAACATGTTCAACCCAGGAGTCCTCCGCAGAGGCTCCCCGCAGACACACAGGACGGACTCTCAGACTCCAATCAGCGTGGTCAGAACCACTGCGTGTCCTGGTCAGCAAGCATGGGGGCCCTTGCCGTCTGCTCAGCCCCAGATGCTCTGCTCTGAACCCACTGGCTCTCATTCTGGCCACACGCTGGCCAAATGATGAGGGGGAAACAAACAAACAGAAAAAGCTCTGCATTGCGTCCCGATTAGATCAGGATTGTGATCCCCACAGTGCTCACAGCTATGAGCATATCATTACTTGTTTCTGCTTTCAGGGTGCTTTAGAATTCCAGGAAAACACGGACAACAGGCAGAAATGTGGGTTGTGGCTCCTCTCCCTCTTAACCGGAGCAGGTGATCCCTGTTGTAAGAAACCTTTCTCAATGTGACATTCCAGAGGTCACCTGAGGGTCATTACCAAGGAGTGCACTGTATGCAGGCTCTGTTTTGATGATGTGGGTCTTATCACTCCAACAAAGTTATAAGCAATGTGAGGCTAGCGATGGTGAAGAACACACGTATGTGATCCATACATACACTCACACAGCAGACACACAGGAGTACGTCTGTAGCATACATATACAAATGCATGTGCATACAAACACATGCACATGTGTGTATAAAGACATGGATGCACTCACACATGTATCTACATGTAGAGATAGAGATAGGGTTGTGTATGTCTCCTTACACACACACACACACACAGTCATCTTGTTACTTGTCCCTTCTCTTCGTTGGTGGGCACATCTCCCACGGCGATTGAGTCAATGCGACTCACAGCAACCCTATAGTAGAGCTACCCCGTGGGTTACTCTAACTCTGTACGAGAGCAGACTGTCATCTATCACCCACAGAACAGCTGGTGGTTCTGATCCGCTGACCTTGCAGTTAGCAGCCTAACTCGAAACCATTATGCCACCAGAGCCTAAGAAATAGTTCTAAATGAATGGACTGACAAGCCCTCCCATCTCTACCCTCCTCTCTCCCTCAAAGTCAATCAACCCTCCCGGCTGCAATTTGGAATGTACATTCACAACCACATTCCGTCTCGGTCAAGTCGATGCCCACCCATACCCGACAGCAGAGTGGAACTGCTCTCTGCAGTTTGCAAATCTTTATCCTGAGCCAGCAAGAAGGGGGCGGTTATGTTAGTCTGGGTACTTTAGAGAAACAAATCCACAGAAACTCATGTATAAGAGAGAGTTTTATATAAAGGTTAAGTGCACATCAAGAAAACATCCCAACCCAGTGCTGCACAAACCCACAAATCCAACATTAACCCATATGTCTGACACCAATCCACAAAGTCCTCCTCCATCTCACAAAACACACACTATGGCGCGACTGCAGGAGGAAAACCGAGTCAGTGAACGTGTAAGCATCTCAGCGCTGGCAGGGGTCTCCACACAGCTGCTCCAGCACCCAGGCCTGCATTGGGGTAGGTTAAGGTGACCAGACGTCCCGCTTTGGTGGGACAGTCCCGATCTTTGGAAAGAGTGCATGACAAGCTAGGGAACAGTCTCTTTGGTCCATATAGACCAAATTTTTAATCAAGAACGTGCCCCCCTCTGCCCCCCCTCGGTCAATGGTGTTCCGCTTTAAATCTGGTCACCTTAGTCCATGTGGCTTCTCCTCAGGGATGTCTTGCAGGAAATCAGCCTGGCCCACTGAAGCAGGGAACTGGCTAAGGCAGCTGCACCCTGGTCCGACCATCACAAAGCGAGAGACCCGAGAACTAGGAAGGCGAGGCTTACCGAGCCATTTAACCCTCCGCCTTTCAATTAACCCCATGTGTGTTTATCGGCCAGGTTGGCACAATTAACTACTTCACTGGTGTTTTCAAAGCTACCAACCGATCAGTTAGCAGCCAGAACACGTAACCCCTGCACCGCCAAGCCTCCCTCAGAGCACCAGGCACAGACACAAGGTTTGTGGAGCCCTGACTTCATTATCCAGAGCTGCTACTGCAGAAATCCCACAAGGGATGCCTTCGACAGAACTGGATCTTCTCACAATTTAGGAGGCTGGAAGGGCCAGGGCAGAGCACCAACCCTAGAGAGAGGCTTTCTCTCTGTGTGCACTCTGGGGGGAGGTCCTTGTCTCTTTAAGCTGTGCTTTGTGGTTCTTTGGAGACCTCCACAAAGAAAGCACACCGGACTCTAATCCTGCCCCTTAACATAACAAGACAGCCCATTCCCAAATGGGTCTTCACCACAGCCATGGAGGTTAACATTTACTGCACATCCTATGGGAGGAAAGGGAGCCAGGTGGTGTGGTGGGTTACTTGTTGGGCTGCTAATCAAAAGCTCATTGGTTCAAACCCACCAGCTGCTCCTTGGGAGAAAGATAAGGCTTTTTTTCAGCCTCAGAAACCCAGGGGGCAGTTTTACTTCTCCCTAGAAGGTCACTAGGAGTCAGAATCAACGGCCTGTCGGGGAGCTTTCCATGGATTTGGGGGAGATGCGACTCAGTCTATAACAGAGACCCTGCCCCCCCAAAATTGAAAATAGTTCTCGCTCACAACCACACACAGGAAGACCAGACTTCCGTCCAGACTTGCTGCCTATCACCGCCTCCCAACACACGCAAGTCATATCCTAGGAAAAAGCCCTGCCGACAAAGACGCACAGCCTAACCCTAAGCATTGGATCCTTTGATGGACAGAAGCTCACATAGTCCTCTTCAACCATCGTGTCCTTCAGTTTGGCCTCAAGTGTGACAAGTGATGGTAGAGCATTGGTTCTCAAACGAGTGTCAACAGAATCACCAGATGACTGGGCCCCGTCCACAGAGTTTCTGGCGAAACCTGTCTGGCGTGGGACTGGAGTATGCATTTCTACTAGGTTCCCAGGTGGTGATGCTGACTCAAGGACCACACTTTGAGAACCACCGGTGGAGACTTAGAAACTGAAGGAATAACCCTTTCAATCATCCCTTCCCCCTTCAGTGCATGAGGCCAGACACTGGTTTTGTGAGCATGCCTGCAGCCATCTTGATTTTAAGTCAGCCACGTTTAAGCATTATCCATTTTCTTAGGGCCTTTTGTGGCTTGTCACTGTTTCCCACACACAGCCTTTTAGGATGTGAATTACCATTCAGAGTCCATTCTAGATTGCCTTGACCCTCCAGTGTCCCTATGGTTGGTTGGCTTAGGCTGGATTGTCTAGAGTAGCAAATCCAGTGACAGCCACCCACGGATAAGAGAGAGTGTTACACCAAAAAGTAATCGCACATGAAGAAGGCATCACAGCACAGTGTAACGCAAATCCACAATCCAATTCTAGTACACAAGTCCCTCTCCAGACTCACATAACCACACGCAATGATGCAGAATGCAGGACGATCACAGGCCGGTGGGTGCATCATGTGGCTGCAAGGTCCGTGCCCAGTCCCAGCAAGCAGGAAGGCAAAGGCGCAGAGAAAGAGAGAAGG